TGGTCCCTCTCCTCTGACCTTCCTCCCAGGCCTTTAAAGCCAAGCTCCTAACTAGCTGAACCGGAGTCACTGCAAGTGCTTTCCAGGGACCTGGCGCCACTCCTCTTGTCATCCGTGTCTCAGTGAAGAGGCAGCTCCTGAGAGGCCCTCCTGGCCATCCCGACTAACGCCCTCGCTCACTTATTTTCTTCCACCCGCTGTGTTTTCTCCATGGCATTTGTCACTTCCTAAAACCATCTTTTGACTTTAACTGTGGCTTCTTTGCCATCTATCCAAGCCTCCTCACCTCGTGTGAGCTCCTTCGGTCAGAGCTGTGTCCCCCATGCCCAGCACAGTGCCTGGCACACACCAACAAGTCCTTGGTGAGCAAAGGGGTCCAGGCAGACAGAGGCCATTGGGGGCTCTAAGGCATCTGGGACACCCCAAACCGAACCTCCAGGCTGCTGGGTAAGAGACAGTGGACACCAATGGAGCCGAAGTCAGACCCAAATTCTGCTGTCAATAGCTGTGTGTTCCTAGGCAGGTTGCCTAACATTTCTGAGTTTTATTTCCTCCTGGGAAGTGGGAGTAGGCACCTACTTTACTGGCTATTACTGGATCAAAGAGTCGGGAGAGAAGGAAAGGGCCTGTGTCCCAGCACTGTGAACTCACACTCAGTAACTGTTTGTTAAAGGAATGAACGGCCCCAGGAGTATGTGATTGATGTCACTGTGATGTGTGGCAGTGTCTGTGATGTCACTGATGTCAGATACCATTATTTCCTAAAGCACAAAGAAAAATTTTAAACCATTGCCAATGCAAGTCTGACCCATTGCTTATATATTGCCCAGAATTTTAATCTTATACTTACTCGAATATTTCATTTTGGCCTACGAATACAAAGATTTTTGCCTGGCCTGTGTGGCTCAGTTGGTTATGTGTCCTCCCCTGCACCAGGAGGTCACTGGTTCGGTTCCAGGTCAGGGCACATGCTCAGGTTGTGGGCTCGATCCCCAATAGGGGGCCTGCAGGAGGCAACTGGTAGATGTCTCTGTTTCATTAATGTTTCTCTCTCTCTCTCTCTCTCTCTCTCTCTCTCTCTCTCTCTCTCTCTCTCTCTCTCTCTTTCCTTCCCTCTCTTTGAAATCAATAAATACATTTTTTTTTAAAAGACAGATTTTTTTATCACACATCACTGCTGAGTTTACATAAAGGGAGACTTTCAGGGAAATCAGTGGGTGAAGGTGTTCCTAAAACTTCTTTGAGGTCAGAGCTGAATGGATCCCCTTTGGCATCTCACAGCCCCACCCCCTTGACCACTGCCTCACCGGTGGCATAGGAACCCAGATTTGAGAAATGGAAAATGTTATGATACTCAGTAATATAGGGTGAGAACTGGGACAAAAGGAACTTTTGAAGTCACACAGGTGAGAGACCTGTTACAAAGTGAGAGAGAAGTCAGCAGGGAAAGTCCTGCAGGTTAGGGGCCTCCTGAGGCCTTACTTCGAACAGAAAGTGGACTCAGCTTCACCTGCTCTGTGAGTGTGGAGTGGCCCAGGGGAGCCAGGCTGCCATAGCCCTCCCCTGGCCCGGCTGCAGTCACCTTGCTGCCCCCCCACCAGCGGGGAGTGAGGACCTGCAGCTCCCTTTCTGCCTTCAAGTAGAGCTGAGCGGTGGTCTGAGAAGTCTCCTTCGGCCCCTGGAGTCGGGGCCAGGCTGAGCTGGCGGGCGGGCGTCTGTGGTCCCCTACGGCCCGGCGTGGCCCCTGGAAACCTGGGCCTGAGAGGTTTTGAGGGAAGAGGCTCTGGGTGTCAAAGAGTCCCCTCTGGACAAGGGAACTCCAGGTGGAATCAGCGATGTCACTTTAGGGTCAGGCGTTCCCCTGGAGTGAAGAGGGGGGATCAGGCAGCAGGGCAGTGGAAGCGGAAGGCTGCCAGGTTTCCGCTAGGCACCTAGAGGCCCAAGAGGTGCTGTAAGGCCTCCTGGCCCTGCTTCTTTCCTCCACCGTATGGGCTCCCGCAGCGGGAGGAGTAACCCAGAGCAACCTTTATTTTTTACAAAATAGGGCGGCGGGGAGAGAATGGGACGCTGCTCTGGCTGCGCCTGTCACTGCCTGGCGGTGCCTCTCTGTGCAGAACTGGCCATGAGGCAGAGACTGTGAGGAGGACTTCGGACCCAGGCCCGCAGACTGCCTCTCCCAAACCTTCCCTCATGTGCGCGTCCAGGCTAAGGCGCCTGAGCTGGGTTCCCACTCCCATCCACTTGGTAAGGTCGGCGGCAGAGGCTGGGGATGAAATGCCCCATCCAGACCCTTCAGTCAACCCTCCCCCAAAACCTGCCCTAAGGCTCATCCCCCACACACACACACTCCACACACATTGGCCAAGCACAGAAGTGTAAACTTCCAGCGAGTTTGGGGTACTGCTGCCGAGGTAATGAGCTAATCCCGGTGTTCAGCCATCACGCGGCTGGGAAGTCCTGGCCGCGTCCCCCCACCCCGCCCTACCCCAACGTACCCCGCTCACACTCCCTCCACTCCCCCCCCCCACTCCAGGCTAAGACTTACTCAAGATGCCCAAGCCAGCTTCTTCTTTAGCCCCCACTCCCCCACCCCCACCCTGGACTGGGGAAGCAGCACCTCCTTGGTGTTGGCGAGCTTGTGCCATGTCTGGGCTTCATTTCCCAGGACGCTGGGTAGAAGGGATGTGTGCTGTGGAAGGGGAGAGGGCAGAGGACCTTCTCCCCCTTAAGCCTGGGCGTAGACTGAGGGGCGCGGTTGCTGGTGATCTGGGGGTAGGCTTCTGGGTGGCCAGAGACGGGTGGCACTCAGGGGGGGAGGGGCCAGATTGTCACCTGGCGGATGGGAGCAGCCCTGTACTGGAATTGGGGTTGTGCGGCTGCAGTCCACATCATTGGCCTCTCGGGGAGCAGGCTGGAGCATCCATCACGCCTCCTGGAGTCACCAGCAAGGAAGCCCTGAGCTGCCTGGACCAGCCGGTGCCTGGCTAGTCTCTCGCCTAGAGGGCTGGGTCTGCCAAGGTCACCCATCCCCTGTGCCCAAGGAAACAGAGGTCTAGGCGGGACAGAACCTCCCCCACCTGCGGGCATCAGCATCTGGGCCTCCTCGTCTGCAGCCCAGCTCGGGCTTTCCACCGGTGGCTGTGCTCCATGGACTATTGGGGCCCTAGGCTTTGGTGCAGGATTCGCTGGACACACACACACACACTCACACACACTCAAAGCCTGGTGCTTGGTGGCCCATTAGTCCAGCCCAGGGAGGGGGCTGCTTTGGGAAAATGCCTAGAACCACAGGGTGACCTGCCTAAGACCATGGTGCTCGGGTTAGTAAAACCTGCAGCCCTGGAACAGACTGCGGAGAATAGGTCAGAATCCCTCCTCTCTCCTCTCTGACCCTCTTCCTTCTACAACCTGCGGTGACAAAGGCTGAGGCTGGAACCTCGCCCCCCAGCCCAGCCCCAGCCCCAGCCCCAGCCCCAGCCCCAGCCCCAGCCCCAGCCCAGACAGAACTTCCAGGCCTTTCCTTCCCTCTTTGCAGTAAGCAGAGGAGTGCAGCAGCTGCCTGGAAGGGTCTGGAGAACAGAGGGTCCCTCACTGAGTGGGCCGAGGTAGCAGGAAGCGCCCTGGCTTTCCCTCCTCCCTGAGGGGCTCAGGCACCGGCACTGTAAATGCAAGTGCGAGCAGGAAGGGCAGGTCAAGCCTCGATTTGAAAAGGAAGTCCTGGCCACTAGGGTGGGGGGCCTCTGAAGCGCAGGCCTGCCCCTGAGCGCGGCGTCCCAGGCCCTGCAGGGACTGGCTGCGGATGCGGAGCCGGCTTAGGGCGCTCTGCAGGGCCGGCTGGCTTCGGTCTCTCCCCCAGCTTCAATCAGCAAAGTGGCCGTTCCAGTTCCCCAACCCCATACTGTGGCCGTGGCCGTGGCGGGGCCCGGGGGCAGGCAGAGCAAGGACCAGCACCCACACGCCATACCCAGCATGGCGAGGCCAGGAGAAGACAGCGGAAGCCTTCCCTGGAGGAGCGGGCGCCCGCGGGCACGCACTCCCTGGCTGTGCCCCTTCAGGGTGCCCAGCCCGAGGCCACAGCTCGAAACCCTCAGCCCGAGGGGGACTCTCTGGGTCCCCGGCTCCTGCCGGGCGCCGCTGCCTGCGCAGCCCCGGGGAGAGCGCGGCGCTGGGGCCGGAGCCGGAGCTGGGGCTGACCGCTGGCCACAGGCGCCTCCAGTGGGAGGCGGCCTCCGCGCGGACCCCAAGGCCTGGGCACTCAGGGCCTCGGGAAGGGCTGCCGGGCCGTCACAGGGGGGCCTTCCAGCGCCAGGAAACCGAATCGCCCCCCCCCAGCGGCTGTCAGTTCCCGGACACCTCGGACGTGACCCCCGCGCGGCCTGGGGCTCGGGACCCTCGGACTGACCCCCTGGCCCGGCCGCAGCCGCTCGCCCAGGGCCGGCAGCTCGGACTGGCCCGCCGCCGCCGGGTGTCGATCCGAGGCCCTGCGCCCTGCCAGCCCCGCGTGGCCGCGGCGGAGGTCCCCCCCGCCGGGAGCAAGGACTTCCGAAGCCGCCGGAGCCCCTTACCTCGCCGCCCTCCCCGCGCCGCCTCAGAAGCCCCTCATGAGCTCCACTGTGTCATAAAATATTTTATTGGGGGAAAAATCACCGTTTTCGCAAGAGAGGGGTAGGGGCCCCGCGACGCCAGGGACTAGCTTCAGGCCGAGCCGCGGGCCGTCCGCGGGTCTCGTCGCCCTGACGCGGGAACCGGCGGGGCCTGGGCGCCCGAGGCGGGGTGCGGGGGAGCGGGCGTGCGCGGGCTCCGCGCAGAGGCCACTGCCGGTGAGTCTCCGGGAGGCCAGGGGGCCGGGGCCCGGGCTTGGCTTCGGGTCCGCGTCCCTCCTCGCCGGCCCGCATCCAAGGTACCGATAACCGTTAGGGAAGCCCGAGACGCGGAGGCGGAGGCCCGGCTCGGGCTGCTCGCGGGCTCGGGCCGCAGGGCGGGGGTCCCCGGCCGCACGCTCAGTCCTCGCGGCCCTGGTCGCTGGCCTCGCCCGGCGCCTCGGCCGGCTTCTCCGGCTTCTCGGCTTCCTTGGCGCGCTCCTGCTCGCTGAGCTGCTCGCTGGTGGGGATGGAGTTCTTCTTGGGCCGCCCCTTGGGCTTGGTGGGGGACTCCAGGCCGCCGCCCTGCAGCACCTGCGGGAGCCGCTTGTGAGCCCCCCGCCCCGCCCCGGCCAGCAGCGGCTGCGGCAGCGCGGCCGGAACCGAGGCCAGAGGCTCTCGGCTGCCGGGAAGCCCGAGGGTGCAGCGGGGCACGAAGACAGGCGAGGGCACCGGGGAGCAGAGAGGGTCCCTTTGGGCACCAGGCGCGGAGGACATGGGGAGGAGGGGAATAGCTCCCACACTCACTATTTTCTTCCACTTCATCCTCCGATTCTGGTACCAGGTCTTCACCTGCAACTGACTCAGGCCCAGGGACTCGGCGAGGTCTATTCTGGAAAGAGCGGGTGCCCCCTCAGCAGGCGCGCAGGCCCCCTCCCCGCCCGCCGGGCTGGGCCCGGGCGCTACCTGTCCGGGGTGGAGAGGTACTTCTGCTTCTCGAAGCGCTTCTCGAGGCCCATTAGCTGCAGCTCCGTGAACACCGTGCGGCTCCGGCGCCCCTTCTTGGCCTTGGCACCCGGCTCCCCGCCGCCCGGCGCCTCCAGCTTCCCGCGGAGCTGCAGCTCCAGGGGCAGGTGCGACGAGCCCGCCACGCCGGGCAGCGCGGGCCCCGCGGCCAGCAGCGCGGAGCCCAGCCCGGAGCAGCCGAGAGGAGCCAGCGGGAACTTAAACACCGCCGCCTGCTCGGCCTTCAGCACGGCTGCGGGGAGAAAGGGAGTTTCGTGAGCTTAGGCTCCACTCCTTCTCTGGGAGCCGCCCCCGAGCATCCCGCTCCCGAAGAGGACTGGCCCAGGCCGCGCCGCCGCACAAACCCTCCGCCGGCCGAGGAGGGAGAGATTAAGCGCCGCCGGGGGAGACCCGCCCCAGCGCCAGTGTCCCCCTGTCTGGGAACAGGGATCTCCCCATCCTGGCGCTGCCCTGGCGCTCCTCGGGCCTATGCCCCCTTTGAGATTTCGGGGTTCTCAATGAAAAGGGTTGAAGCTCAGATGCGCACAATGCGTTTCACGGAAAAGGGAAACCAAGAAGAAAAGGAAGCAGCGACATAGGAAGATGAGCTTTGCGCAACCAAATCCGCATTCTGCTTTGGGAAAGAACAGGACAGGACAGAGCGGACAGATCCCCCCTCCGTGGGCACAGCGGCCAGGCAGCAGGCAGGGGTCTGCGCAGAGGTTGGTTGGAACACTTTCCGAAGATTTCAAAACACCCCACAAATCCTGAAACTGGTCTTCCTGTTCTCTGTGTAGACTGGACCCCGTGACGATGTTTCCATTGTCATCAGCCGTAAATGATTTTTTTTGCCCGCTTCAAACGAATTATGAACCGCAGTGCAGCCAGAGCAATACTCAGCGTTGAGTCTGCATAAAAGTTGGACTCAAAACGAACAAACCGGCTGAGGCGCCCGGCGTGAGGGTGGAGCGCGGCCTCAGGGCCAGGAAGATGGCGGGGGGGGCCCGGGGCCCACTGTGCAGGCCTCCCTGCCCACGGGCACCTCAGTAAGGGCAGGTGCGCCCATGAGGTCAGCGAGGGCTGGCCGAGGTTGGGGTGAGTGTGAGGAGGGGGCCCCAGGGAAGCAAGATACTTGGGAGAAGGTGAGAGAAAGGGGGGACAGGCCCACCCTATGAGAAAGGCCAAGAGCGGTCAAAGTAGGGCGAAGAGAACTGGGGGAGACTAGAAGAACAGGGGTGCGGTGGCGAGGACAAGCCCGACTTTGGCCCGGCCACGGAAGAAAAAAAAGCCAAAGGCAGAGAGGGCCAGTGGCAGCTCCAGCGCCGGGAGACTGCGCCGCGGATCTGGAAGCAGAGGCCAGGCGGGCTGGCGGGCTCACAGTCAGCCCCTTGTCCCCGGGCGAGGCCAGGGGTGTGGGAGCTGCAGCCGAGGCCGGAGGGCCTGCCCCGGGGCTCCCAAGGCTCCGAGCGGCTGGGGCCCGGGCAGCTCCCCGCTCAGCACTGGGGGACGCAGGCCTCTCCCCGAGGTCCGCCGTCGCCGCTGGGCGGTCCTGGCCGCTCCGGGCCAGCTCCTGCGGCGAAGGCCCAGCGCCGTGGCCTGAGGTCGTGCTGACCCGCAGCCTGAGGTCAGCAGTAGGACCTTCGCCCGCGATGAGAATATAGGCTCGGACCCCGGGCTAGAGCCCGCGGGGCATCCGAGAAGAAGAGAACACCCTCCCCGCGGACCCGACCCGCGGGCACGAGGCCTGGCTCCCGTGCCCGGGCTTGCCCTCCTCTTCCAGGCCGGCCGGGGCGAGGGGACGCCGGGGCCCACGCGCCCGGCGCCGCGTCCGCACGACGGCAGCTGCCCCCGCGGCCCACGTACCCAGGTGGCTGTGGAAGGGCCGCGCGGCCAGCAGCGCCTGCACCCCGAACTTGAGCAGCTCGCCCGCGGCGGCGGCGGCGGCGGCGGGCGCGGCGCCCTTGGGCCCCGGCGGCTCGGTGAGGATCTCCTCGATCATGAAGCTGCGGTAGCGGTGCGGCCTGTGGTCGGCGCAGCCCGCCGGCGGCCCGAAGCGCGCGGCGCCCGGCTCCCCGGGCCGCTGCATCGCGGCGCCCGCAGCTCGGCGGCGTGTGCTCGGGCGCGGGGCCCGCGCGGCTCTAGGCCGGCCCGCAGCTCCGGGCGGCGCGCGGGCGGCGGCGCATCCCCTCCCCCGCCGGCCGCCGGGCGGAGGTGCAGGGCGCGGGCGGGGCTTGCGGGGCTCGGCCGGTCGGACCCGGGACTGCGCCCCCGCCGCGCCGCCGCGCCTCTAGCACGGCCGCCCCGCGTCACCGCCCCGCCCCGCGGGCCGCCCCGCCCCGCCGCCCCTACCCCACCCGGGCCCAGCCCGAGGGAGGCGGGGAGGGGGAAGGCGGGAGGGAGGGAGGAAGGGAGGGGCCGCCGGAGGGGTCGGCGGACCCAGACCGGGAGACCTAGCGGAGCGCAAGCTCAGGATGGAGAGAGGAGAGAGCGGAGGCAGACCCCCGAGAAGGGAGCAGAGGGACCAGAGAGGTGAGAGGGGCCGAGAGAGCCTGCAGGGCCGCCCTGGAGCGGAGACAGGGGTGAGAGGTGCCGGGACGTCAGGCCGCGCGCAGAGCCCGGCGGGGCGCGGGGGGCCAGCGGGGCAGGACGTGCGGGCGGGCACAGCGGCGGGCCGGGCAGCAGACGGCCAGGAAGGAGGAGAGGGGAGAGTGAGGGGGAGAGGGGTCAGTGAATGGGGAGCGGGGGCAGTGAAGGGGGAGAGGGGACACTGAGGGGGAGCGGGGACAGTGAGGAAGGGGGAGAAAGGACAGTGAATGGGGAGCGGGGGCAGTGAAGAGGGAGAGGGGGCAGTGAAGGAGGAGAGGAGACACTGAGGGGGGGCGGGGACAGAGAGGAAGGGGGAAGAGAGGACAGTGAAGGGAGAGCGGGGGCAGTGAGGAAGGGGGAGAGAGGACAGTGAAGGGGGAGCGGGGGCAGTGAAGAGGGAGAGGGGACAGTGAGGAAGGGGGAGAGGGGCAGAGAGGAAGGGGGAGAGGGGAAAGAGAGGAGGGTGGCGGCCTGGCAGGTCGGAGGGGGAGAGGCCATGGCTGCGGGAAAGGGGCAGCGGGGCACAGACGCCCTCTGGGCAGGGGGCCGCATAGGCGGGCGGGCAGCTCCTAGCTCCGGGCTGTACCTGTGCACCCCGGCTCGGCCTCACCCCCCTCCCCGCACCGCCCTGAGTGGAGCGCTTTCTCCTTGGCAGCCTGCTTATATGTCCAGTGACACGGGGACACGTCCTCCTGGGGACCCGGGAACTGAGGTGGGCTGTAGCACCCCGCAGACGAGGCGGGAGGGTGAGAGGAGAAGGAAAGGCTGCACTTCCTTTCGCAGCCTCGGAGCCTCAGGAAAACCGTTACTGGGCGGAGCTGGGGGAAGGATTACAGTCTGTGTGCGATGGGAGTTTGGGGACAAATTCTGGAGTGGGGTGTCTTGTCTGTGAGCCTTAAAGTCCCCAACTTCTCTAGCCCTAGCCTCCTCTAGCTCCCCCTCACCATTGCAGGAATATGAGCTCTAGCCATGGGAAGGGGAGCGGGGAGAGGAGGGAGGGGAGAGGGGAAGCATGACCAAACCTCTCTTCTGGGAACTCCTCTCTCTGCCCCTGCCCCTCCAGGTCTGGCCATGTCCCATCTGGAGCCTCGGTGCCCTGTCCTGCCCAAGAAGATGCTGACATTGGCTCTGGGGCTGTGAGGACTGCGTGGGGGTCCCGCACCGCCGGCCACACAGGGTCTGCTGGAGAGGACACAGTCTGTTCATCAGGTGAACGTGGGTGGGGATGGGCGTCCCTGGGGGCTGAAGGAGGGTGCTGCCGCCCTTCAGGAGCCCCGTCCCCCCCCCCCCCCCGCGCCCGGGGTCCTGGATCCCTTCCGCTTCCCCCTGTGCACCTGGCGGGTCTCGGGGGTCACTGCAGGAATAGAGCTCCCTTACCCAGGGCCCTGCCCCGCCCCTCAGGTGATGTCTTTTCTGGCTGTAGCTGCTGGCCCGGAGTGCGCCATGAGGAAGCCCCAGGCCCCTGCATCAGCCCGTCTCCGGGTAGATTAGGACGTGGCCAGCGTTTCTGGTCCCTGGGGACAAAGACGATGTCTTACCGGAGGCTCTGGTGAGACTAGGACCTGGAGAGCCCAGCTCCTCTCCCCCAGGTGCGGTGGCTTCCGCTGGGCCACCTTGCTGATCCCACAGCCATCACCGGGACAGGAAGGTGGCCTCCGGTGCCCCAGCCTTGGTGGTTCTGTGAACTGCAGGGCTCTTCAGAGGGGATGGCGATGGCGTCCACAGGGTCAGGCCCCCTCCCAGGAGAGGGGGAGAGACAGTGGGCAGGGCCTGGAAAGCCAGTGTCTCCTGGAGCCTGGGCACCCGGGGGCCCTCCACACGGGTGGGCGCAGAGAGCCCTTCTCAGGATGGGTTCTGGGGTGTCTGATGGGGAAGTTGGGGCTCAGCAGGGGCGAGGCGTTGGCCTAAGGACCACAGTGAGTAGGGCTGGTTTTCTCCCGCTCCCTGTAAATACAGCACGGCGCTCATTTTCTCTCCCCTCCTTCCCAGCAGGGCCCATCACTGTCCCCCCTCTTCTTGCCTCCACATGGCCCCCAGGGGAAAGGGGGAGAGAACTGAGGGTGGGGGGTCAGGCCCAGCCTCCCTCTTCACCCCTCTACCTCCTATTGGCCCCTGACTGAAGCCACCGCTTTGAACCATCTCTGCCCCCAGGGGCTCAGATCCTGCGGGGGGAGCTTGGGTCCCGGTCAGAGGACTTGGGGGTCCCGTTGATCAGCCCTCACCAAACCTAGTCTGCTCCCGGAGCAGGAGGTCATTTTCATAACGGAGGGCGCACCTCCAGGTTTAGGAGTCCGAAGGCCAGCCGCACCCCGTTTCCCAGCGCCCACACTGTCTCCCCGCCCCAGCCCCGCCGGGCCTTTCCGGGCGGAGAATGGAGCGGGAGGGCGGCCAGGAACCCCTGTCAGGCGAAAAGAGCGCGCACCCGCAGCCTCCTCCCCGCCAAGGGCTTCCCCAGAGCGGGGTCCCCTCCTGGGAACAGAGGCTCAGAGGAGGGAGCTGGCCGGTCCGGAGCCTAAGCCGCCTCCCCCGCCGCCGCCGGACCCTCCCGCCGCCGCCGCCGCTCCCGGAAACGCCGCTCCGGGCGGCGCTGGAAACGGTGACCTCAGCCCCGCGGCTGGGCTGCGGGGCCGGCGCCACCCGGACGCCCTGGCTCCCCGTCACCATCACCGGCCTCAGCCTCTGCACCTGGAGCCCCGAGGAGGGGTAGCCCCTCCGTAATCAAATCCTCCTCTTCCCCTCTTCCCCCTCCTCCTCTCCCTCCTCCACCACCCCTTCCTCTCCCCCTCCTCCTCCCCTCCTCTTCTTCCTCCCCCTGCCCCTCCTCCCTCCTCCCCTCCTCTCCCTTCTCCTCCTCTCCTCTCCCTCCTCCTCCTCTCCCTCCTCCTCCTCTCCCTCCTCCACCTTCCCCTCCTCTGCCCCCTCCACCTCCCCTCCTCCCCCTCCTCCTTCCCCTCCTCTCCCTCCTCCACCTCCACACCTCCCCTCCTCTCCCTCCTCCACCTCCACCTTCCCCCTCCTCCTCCCCTCCTCTCCCTCCTCTTCCCCCTTCTCCTCCCCTCCTCTCCCTCCTCCACCTCCACCTCCTCCATCCTCCTTCCCCTCCTCTCCCTCCTCCACCTCCGCCTCCCTCCTCCTCCTCCCCCCTCTCCCTCCTCCTCCTCTCCCTCCTCCTCCTCCTCCTCCCCTTGCTCCTCCTCCTCCTCCCCCTGCTTCTCCTCTTCCTCCTCCTCCTCCTCCTCCTCCTCCTCTTTCTCTTCCTCTCCCTCCGCCTCAGGAGTCTAGGGGCGGCCAGTGGGGGCCTGGGTCCGGGTGCTTGTGCTTGGCCTTCGGGGTCTGGTCCTTCCAGTCCTTCCGACCTTCGCCCGGTTCCTGAGTCCCCGCCGGCTGCCGGGTGTACCCGTTACTCGCCGCGCTCAGTCGGGGCTGGAATGGGGAGGGGGGTCCTCTGGACCCTTTGGCGGCGATCGCCCCGCAGCTGCCCGCGCCCCGTGGGTGGACGGGGAAGTGGAGCCCCGCCGGCCCTTTCCCTCCCTTTCCTCCCTCCCTCTCCTCCCTCTTTCCCCTCCTTTCCCTTCTTTCCCTCCCTCTCTCCCCTCCTTTCCCGGGGCCTCGGGCCCCCTCGCCCCCGGCCTCCAGGGCCCTCGGGGGCGGGGGCGGCGCGGGGACGGAGCCCGGGCCTGCCCTCCGCGGGGACCGGCGGGAGGCCCTGGCGCCTCCGGGTAAGGGGTTATTCTCCGGCGGTGGGGACGGTTCGTTGTGAACTTTCCAGCCCCGTCCAGGCTGGCGCCGCTTTGGGAAGGAGTCCTGGCGCCCCCCGCGAGGAATGTGTTCCTTGGGAACGGCGGCTTTGCTGTGTAGCTTTTCTCCTTATCGCTGTTTTAAAGGTGAGACTTTGTTAGAGGGGTGGTTTTCAAAGGCGCATCGGCAGACAGCTGCTCCGACCCGTAGAAGACGGTCCTGGTGCCCCGGCCCTGGCGAACCTGCGGGACGGAGCGCAGCCCGGCCTCGCCCCGGGGCTCCCGCCTCCGCCTCCGCCCGCACCTCGGGGCCCGCGGCCTTCACGGCGGCAGGGACCGGGTCCTGGGGCCGCGCCCGGGCGAGGAGGTCCGCCCCCGCTCCGGTGTGAGTTCCTCCCGCCGCGCCCTGACCTCCCGGCCCGGCCGGCGGTGAGCGCCCGCGCCCGGAGAGGGCCGCCCCCGCCCGGAGAGGCCGCCCCGCGCCCGGAGAGGCCGCCCGCGCCCGGAGAGGCTGCCAGGCCCGGCGCGGGTCTGACTCCCGCCCGGGCTGGGCGTTCAGGCCCCTGGGGAGAGCGAGGATCCTGTCGGCGGCCACTCCATCCCGGCAGGTGCCAGGCGTCAGCGCGCCGGGGCGGCAGCCTGTGCGAGGGGCCTCCGCCGAGAACGAGGCCCCTGAGGGAGGCGGGCTCCGGACAGAGGACAGAGGCGAGAGGGTGCGAAAGCGGCTAGACCCTTCCTGTCTTTTCCCCTTTCCGTACTTCTT